TAGGAGGAAAGCTGGGAAACCATCTTTACAGCCAGGGTCTCTGATAAAGGCCTCATTTCTCAAATACGTAGAGAACTGAGTCAAATGTATAAGAATACAAGTCATTCCTCAATTGATAAATGGTCAAAGGATATAAACAGGCAGTTTTCAGAGGAGGAAATTAAACCTATCTACAGTAATATGAAAAAAATGCTCTAACCTAATCTAAACACTAGTGATTAGAGAAATGCAAATTAAAACAATTCTGAGGTACTACCTCACACCTACCAGGTTGGCTAATATGACAGAAAAGAAAAACGATACATGTTGGAGAAGATGTGGGAAAATTAGAACATTAATACATTGTTGGTGGAGTTGTGAACTGATCTATCATTCTGAAATGCAATTTGGAACTATGCCCAAAGGGTTATCAAACTATACATAATCTTTGATCCAGTACTGCTAGACCTGTATTCCAAAGAGATCATAAAAAAGGGAAAAGGACTCACATGTACAAAAAATATTTACAGCAGCTCTTTTTGTGGTGGCAAAGAATTGGAAATTGAGGGATTCCCCATCAATTGGGGAAAAGCTGAACAAGTTGTGGTATATGAATGTAATGGAATACTATTGTGCTATAAGAAATGATGAGCAGGCGGACTTCAGAAAAAAGTGGAAAGACATGAACTAATGCTGAGTGAAATGAGCAGAACCAGAAGAATATCATACACAGTAATAGCAGTACTGTGAGATGATCAACCATGACAGACTCAGCTCTTCTCGGCAATATGATGATCCAAGACAATTCCCAAAGACTCATGATAAAAAATGCTGTCCACATCCAGAGAAAGAACTGATGGTCTGAATGCAGATAGAAGCATACTATTTTCACTTTTTTTGTTGGGTTTTTTTGGGTTTTGCTTTCTCAAGTTTTTTCTCTTTTGCTTTGATTCTTGTTTCATAATATGACTAATGTGGAAATATGATTAATAGGATTGTACACATATAACCTATGGCAGACTGCTTGCTGCCGTGAGGAGGGGGGAGAAGAGGGAGGGATAAAGGAAAATTTGGAACTCAAAATCTTATAAAACTATTAAGTGAAAAGAAAGCAAGCAAGCAAGCAAGCAAGCGCCTAGAGCAATGAAGCATTGAGAAAAGAACAGCGGCCAGAGCCCGGGGAGCAGCAGTCCCGGATGGCAGCGGTCCTAGGTGTCCTTGCGGTCGGAAGGCAGCATCAAGTGCACCTCACAGCTGTACAGGTGTTACTGGAGCCATAAGCCTAAACTAGACTGCTGAGCAGTAAGGGAGGTGACGGGCACACAACAGCTTCCCAGGCGAGCCTCAGCACCTACATCCCTCCTGTCCCTCCCCTCCACATCTCTGCCTACAAAGTCCAACAGCCTCCAAGGGACTCACTTAACCTTTCTATTCATCAATTTTTCCAATGTAAAATGAAACCACTATTAACATCCCTGAGGACAGAGGGTCTGTTAACCTTTTATGTGTCCTGGAACCCTTTGACAATCTGGTGAAAGCTATGGACTGCTTCTCAGAATCACATTTTTAGATGCATGAAATAGAGTACCTAAGGTAATAATGGAAACCAATTACGTACTAAAATACGTATCCAAAAATTTTTTTTCTTAAACTCACAGGCCCTGGGGTTAAGAATCCCAGCTTTCAACACTGTGAAGATTAAATTTAATTTTGCTAAAAATATCAAAGTAATATGACACTTTAAATTGGCCAAGATAATCAGCAAGGTCCACTGTGAGAAAAAAAATCCTAGGAAATCAAATAGAAGACAAATAAAAATATTTTAAAGTCTGGAAAAATACCTATACAACCATTAACAATGTGTTTTTCAGTATACTCAGCTTTAAATGTATGATTCTATGATTAAAAAGACAATACTTAGCAAGACAATGTCCATGGAATGCTTAGTGTTTGGGGTCATATTAAAGTGCTCTATCTTTTTCCATTAGGAGTGATAATACCTTCTGTAAATTACCTTGCTCTGAAGAGATAAAGTATAAGCTGAGATGGTCAGCTAGGTTACTATAGGAGTTGATGAAGAAAGAGAGCTTTAAGAAAGTGAAGACCCAAAGATTCAGGCATCTCAAAAAGGAATGGCCATCAGGGGTCACTGTCACAGAAATATGATTTGAGCTTCAACACCTAACTCAAAGTCATTTCAAGATGGCTTTCTATGATCTTGGGTGCAGTGGGGTGGAAAATGCAAAGCCCTATTAGAACCGTAAGTGGGCACTTACCACGATGGCAAAATAGTAAGAGCTTCAGCTTGCCTGGTGGCAAGTTAGGATACGATTGTATCCTAACTAGGATAATCCTAGGATACAAAGTTTCCCTGTATTTGAGAAATATGGTCTGCAGTCACATTTCACCTCAAGGAAAGAAACTGCTCAACCCCTAAGTCTAAACTCTAATTTTCTTAAATATAATAATCATCTAGTTTCTAGCATTTTTGATGAGACACTGTCTCTGACGCCTGTCACCACACTCACTTCCCTCTATCCCGGCCCCACTCCTCAAAAAAAAATCCTATATCTACAAAGCAGCTGCCAGCCACATGAATGTATCTCTACAGTACGTCCTGAAACTTAAGTGAAATCTGCATCCAGCAGTCTTCATTCAGGACACTGACTCAAATGCTGGTGCTTGGACAAATAAGTCTTTCTCATTTCTGGCTGGCCAGCTAGGAACCTAGCAAAATCTTCTTTCATGGCCTTAGATTTACAAGTTCCACAGTCCTCCATCTGGGAGAGGCTTTATAAAACAATAGCTCCATTTACAGATGATAGACCTGGGAAATAGATAATATAATTATGTTTCCTGCCTAACAAATGAGGAAACTGGAGCCTAGACGTGAAATGAATTGCCCGAGCTAATGTAGATAAACAGTAGGAACACAGAGTCAAGTTCTGATTGTCCTCCAAACACAGTGCTCCCGTGCACTACAGCTGCCTCAAAAGCAAGCAATACCCCTAACATTGAGCACAAAAGCAACGTAAAAGCAGAAGAGAAATTAACATGGATTTTCTAATATATATCTCAAACTTCTTTACTACTATGATTATTTAAGATACTCTGCGTAAGTCAACTATGGTGGGAATTAAGATATGTTGTATCTATGTAATGATGTGAGGCCAGGATTGAGCTGTTAGCGCCAATTAAATAATAACTATGTTCTTTTTCTTGGATATGCTTGGAACACACTACTATGGCAGATGGTCAAAAGAGACACCACCAGCCACTGAGCTAAACTTAAAAGATACTTTAGACTAGGAGCAGGGGTTCAACAGATTCAAAGACTGTCCTGCCATTCTGGGGGTGGTTCAAAACCTAAAATACACTTAACAAAGCCTGATACAGGTCTTGGTAAGAGTACAAAGACCAAAGACCAAAGAACACTTAAGGTTGACAGGGTACTAGAATCAGTCAAGGAAATAGGCACATCTTTTGGTTTCCATGTTTCAGGGAAACAACAGAGTTGTAGAGTTCAATTAATTTCCATTTCTAAGTCTACATGCACATTAAGAGACACTTATTTATTAAAGCATGCAAAAATCAATAGCAACTACTAAGAGGATTTATTAAGATTATAAAAGGTATGTATTAATTAAAAGGGAAGGGCATTGTCTTTTTAGCTCCCTTCCTGTTTTTACAATGCATTTTTAAACCTACCTATAAGCACTGTGTCTCCCTATCAAGTTTCTCAATGATAGGAGGGAAGAGCACAGATAAATGGAAAAGAAGCATCCCTTGATCTCCTTTTCGTGTCCCAAACCCACAGAAAGGTCTATTTTCTTCAAGTCAAAAGCTGGCATAAAAAAACCTAAAATATCTTCAGATGTGTATTGCTCAACATATACAAATAACGTCACCTTTTCCATTCTTTAAAATACAGTCGTGGAATTAAACAATAAAGAAATTAGTCCTAGAAAAAGAATTAATATTTAAAATACCATCGCAAAAAATTTAATTTACATGCCAAGAAAATGGAGGCTCAATTTTTTTTTACTAACAGGATTCCAAAGTAGTCACCCCTACCCAAAACAATTTACATTATAAAGTTCAAAGATCTAATCTATTCCAATAAAACTCATAAGACCCAAGTATTTGTAGTTGTGAGATTTCATCACAAAGAATTAATTCACAAGGTCAATAATGAAGAAAATCCTGCTCTCATATTTTTTTTTTCCTTTAACAGTTCTGAGCTAGTAGTTGGGAGCAATACATGCCTTAGAAAAGCACTAAAAACAAAGCACAAATCAGAATTTGATCTTATGGAATCAAATAGCCATAAAAAAGTAGTTTCCTCAAGCTTGTAAATATTTACAATAGGACATTCCTATTACATTAACATCAGCATCTTCAAGGTCAGCATTATGCATACACCATCTCTGAATCACATTTTGGGGTTATTTTTAACATCTGACTAAAGCTTCTATCATCCCAAGATGCTCAGACTGTTTACAAACACTCCCAAACTTGCAGCTGGGGTGTTCCACAGTCACATCTTATTAGAGTAAACAACGTAGCAGTTTTGAACACAGGTACATATTTGATAACGGTTTGTTAATTAAAAAAAAAAAACTTTCCGTTTTTAAAACTGTACTTCAACAGGAAAAGACATTTATTGAATTAAAAATGAGTTACGATAAAGTAATATTGAGGGAGGGGGGTTGTGAAGAGAGAAAGATTCAGAAATCTAGGTCCATTCATGCTAGTGAAGGCAGCGAGCAGACTACGTAACAGGACATGCATGTTATTAATGAGGGCAGGAACGCAGAAGAAAACTGATCCCAGGGAAAACCGTCCAGGTCAAGTTTAATGCCCCTTCTCTCTCCCTCCCTCCCTCTGTCTCCCTTCTCTGTCCCTCTTCTCCCTACCCCTACCCCCCATCCCCTGCCTACTCCCCCTTTTCCCCTTCTCTCCCTTTCCCCTTTCTTCCCTCTCTCTCTGACGATGCAAATAATGCAGAAACAGGCACTTACCCACACAAGCATTGAGGAACAGCCAATCAGTCTTTTTCATTCTGTTTTTAATTTGCTTTAGTTTTTTGAAGTCTACTTCCAGCTCCTCTTTGCTGCCAACAGCACCAGCTAATTCAATTCTCTGAAAATCCATGTTCATCTCGGAGTCCCGCTGCGGTGTGGGGGGAGACCTTCTCTGACCGTTACCCCCACTACAGCCTCCTCGCCACCGAGCTCGGTCTTGTTCATTGATTAGTGAAGACGCCTCTTCTGTCTCTGCCAGTTCTATAGCTTCGATGTTGTTAGGTCTGGGATGATCACAAACCACACACTTTCTAGCCTTGGCCCAGTTTTCGTACGTACAAACAGAACAAGTCCAATGCTGCGTCCTTGTGTTCAGTTTATTTCTATCATTGTACTCCTCACAAGGATCAACTGAAAAAGGGGCTGGCCTCGAGCCTGATCCGGAGGACTGAGGAGATTCTGTGGGACTCCTGGTCCTACGCTGGGACAAGCACTGCGTACACCTGATCGCTCTTGGCCAGTTCAAATACGTGCACATATGGCACGACCACTTGTTAGCGTTGTCCACCGTGTATGAAGACTTGACTCTTGGCCTTGCACTGGAGTCTGGACATATCAAAGGGCTACTTCCTCCTTCAGTCACAGAAGGATCCCAGTCTCTACCCACATCACTTGAACCACTTTTAAATGGATCTTCAGTAATAATTGTTCCACTTGGTCTTTGGGCACGACACATGGTACACTTGATTGCAGATGGCCAATTTTCATACGTACAATACTCACAAGCCCACTTAATTCCACGTTCTGACATCGTGCACTTCTTGAAGTGAATTATGTCAGGCAGGAAGCTATAAATAATTAGAATAGGGTTACTAAAGTACAATAACTGCAAAACAATTTCACCTTTGAAAAGACACTGACAAGTTATAGGTATCTCGAAAAAAATAAAATTTATATAAAAAATTAACCACCCCCCACTTCAGTTATGAGATTTTAGGGAAAAGTTTTGGCCCCAAATGTAACTATGTACGAGTTCAGAGAAAGGAAGAAAGGAAGTGTGCATAGAAGAGGAATTTTCACTAGAAACTACAGAAGAAGGAATGGTTTTTAAAGGGAATGTGCTAAAGGGGAACAATTTTCAACCAAGACACAATACTGAATTTCCAAAAGCAATTAATGTTATGGAAATTATGGAGTGGAAAAGAAAGATGATAAAAACTCAAACAATGCCTAGGAACAAATAAAAACCTGTCCCCAAACTATCAAATGAGGTTGCTTTTTTTCACTTTTCTTCACATACAGGTAACATCTCTTGGAAATAACTTAAAAGGACAACAGTTTCAAAAGCTTCCCAGATCAGAAGCAAGCTAATCCACCGACCTCCTGCTGGACTGATGCTCTTTGTTTCCAAGAACAGTTTGCATTCTGCTCTTCCTCTAGTGCTTTCAAAAGTACTATTTCTAAAATACTTGCTTGTAAAGTTCATAATGAAACAATAAAAAAATTACAGATGCTACAGCTCTTTTAGAAACATTAAACTCCTAAAAACTACAATTTCTGATGTAAAGAGAAGGGACATTAAAAGTAGATTCCAAAGAGAGTATATTTATACACAAACACACCTATACGTATGCACACAGACATATATGTACGTTATATATGTACATATATACACATAGTGACCATATGACACACACACACACACACTTTTCAGAACAGACAATCAAGAGTCTTAGATGCAAGTCCAGTTAGGCCAAAAGATAGGGAAAGATAGATGAGACAGCTACATAAAGTCCCTGCTACCTTTTTTCCCCAATAATTAAAACACTATTCAGTGTGTTCTATATCAAACACCAAAATTTCAAAAAGTAAGAGTCAATTCTATTATTTCTTCAGTTTAATTCAATCCACTAACCATTTATCTGTCTAACACACCTACGAGGAAATAATGTGAAACCATAGATAATTCACTATTCCTCCAACCAGACAGGCTAGAAGGACAGGTCTCATCTCTAAAACAATGCAGTTGATGTTAGGATGTGATTCTCTGCCATTCATTAAGTACAACTAAAATCTGATATCGGGCTCCCTACCGTCTTCCTAACTAAGCACAGGAAGAAATTCAGTATATGAGAGCTAACCTTTACATGGACACAGAACTGCTTACTGAGCACACGAGGAGGTGACTTTCACTGGGATAATCAAACTGATGCCACTTTCCTAAGACTACTGATGACCACTATAAACAGCTGTAAGTCTAAGTAATTATAAGTATACCAAAACCACATTCAGTTTGCTAAAGTCCTACTCTGGTGCTTCATAATGACCCAGAGAAGATCCCAGGTTCTCAAAGGGGAATACAAACTCTAGCAGGTCCTCCCAAGCTGGAAAGGCTTCATGAGAAGGGCCTATGTCCAAGAACTAGTTCAGATAAATCAGAAAAGCCCCATCAACCAAGCTGATCAAAGGAGATGAAGTAAACATTCAAACTACAGCAAATCTACTAAGTTGCAAAGTAGTTATAATACACATCAGTGGAGAATTTCCAACACCTTTAAAATCACAAATCTTCCAACAATTGAGTAATATAATTATCCTTAAAAAAAAAAAAGGAGGGGGATCACAATGAAAAAATTTCATGTTAAAGGAGAGTGACAACTAATTTTGTAACAGAAAAAAGCACTTAATTTTAAGTCAGAGGACCTTGATTCAGATACCCAATTACCTTTCATGTGACTTAGTCAAATCATTTAATCATGAGCCTAAGTTGTTTCCTCATCCATGAAATGGGATGAGGACAGTATTCGCATTACCCTATCTCACAAAGCTGTTTGAAAAAACTGAATACAGGGGCAGCTACATGGCTCGGTGGGTAGAGCACCGGCCCTGGAGTCAAGAGGCCCCGAGTTCAAATCCAGCCTCAGACATTTGATACTTACTAGCTGTGTGACCCTGGGCAAGTCACTTAACCCTGCTGCCTAGCCAAAAAAAAAAAAAAGAAAAAAAAACTGAACAGATACAACGTACATAATGAACTTTTTAAGCTATAAAACGTAACGACAACTTGAAGTTATACGCTAGCCACCCAATACCACCCTTCTTGCTACTTACTCAGTAAAAGAAGGGAGTTGGACAAGATGACAGTTTTAAATCTGTGACCCTACCTATGATCTCTCGCTCCTTAAATCCCTGCCTGGAGTCAGTCACCTCTCCTGTCACCATTTGATGGCTAGGAAGGCAGCAGGAGTCACAGACAAGCAGAAAAATGTGGATTCTTTCCCGAGTATCAATTAGAACTTACTATGAGAGCATCCATGCCCTTTCCTATGTCCCCATTTCTCAAATATTCACTATTAAAAAGATTGCTTCTGACTATACACGCATAATCTCAATCAAACAGCTCATCTTCACAAATAAGGGAGTGGGGAAGGAGGGAGAGAACTTGGAACTCAAAATTTTAAAAAGCAAATATTAGAAATTGTTTTATATGTAATTGAGAAAAAAATTAATTAAAAAAAGATTGCTTCAGAACCAATCAGAATATATTTAAAAGATAGCCACTCTTAACAGTTTTAATGTCCAAACTACAGCTTTCAACGTGATCACTGTTCTGACTTCTAAATCTTACTTTTATTCCAACAGAGACAAGATCACGTCTTCAAGTGAGCTCAGAGCCTGATTTTCTCAAAAAGACACCACAGATACCCTCCATGGTTCTGGACTCTGAAGAGATACTTCTGTAAAGAGAACCAGAGCTGAGTTTTACTTTAAACTTCCAAATAAATCTCAATTTATAGAAAAGTTTCCCTTTTACCACCACTTTAAGATTAAACCTATTCATATCTTCTTGCTTAATAATGACCTACAGTATTTGTAATTTAAAGTTAACCTGACTAAACAGTTTGGCAAAACTAAGACATGCCAATGTCTTTAAATTCAGTATTATACCTATTTATAGGTAGGATTTAGGATTATAGTGAATATTAATAAGAGGAGTGACAGGTCAACTGATTAGCTGCATTAATGGAGAAGAAAAAAAAAAAAGAAACACACCAAGTGAGCAGAGAAAGGCAGCTCAAAATTATACTGATGGGAATGAATTCCAATCGTACTACAGAGAACTCCCACAAAAGTGCATAATCTACCCATCTACAGAAGTGACTGAGCCAGGTACCAGAATACCAAGATGTCAAAGCTACAAAAGCATTATCTTATACTCCAGGAACCTCACTCACCAAGGATCATACAGCAAGTGAGTGAAAGATAGTACAAGAAGCCATGATGATGACTTAAGTGTTCAGTTTCTTTCATTCCGTTTCACGTCATACGTAGCTAACCAAGACAAAGTGGAGGGTTAATGCCTCCATCAGAGAAATCATCCACCACCCTTGGCTCCCAGGCCTTCTATACAGTTCAGTCAGGGGCAGGGGGGAGGAAGCTGGGAATGCAATGTGTTCACAGAAAAACAGAAATGGGCTATATAGAAGAGGATCTTCCAGAGTGACTGGGTGACTGGAAAAGGCCTTTTGAAGGAGGTGAAGTTTCCCTTGGTACCGAAGGGAGCTATGAGTCCCAAGAGAAAAGACAGGAAGGAGGGCATTTCGGGCGTTGTGCGGCCCGCAGGGAGGCGGGAGACAGAATGTTGTGTGTGGAGTCCAACAAGAAGAGCAGCCTGGCTGTAGCACACAGTCTGCATAATCAGCCTGGAAAGGCCGAAGGAGCCAAATGGGGTCAAGTCCAAGCCTAGCTGCTCGATTTTTCAGATTCTGAATTATCTGCCATCAGCAGTAAGTCGGCCCTCAGATAATTAGATCCCCAAAAGCCAGCAAGCTTCTGAGTGGACTCCCACCTGCCGCCCTTGCACACTGTCCTGCAGGCCTGAGCGCTGCCCAGCCACACTCCCCAACAGCACCGAAGTCAAGCCCTTTTCAGATCTCCACTCTTAAGGAGAGAGCCAAATGGAATTCAGACATCTGGACACGAAGGGATCACAGAGGCCATCTCTCCGACTCCTCCCATTTCACAGATGAGGAAGCTGAGGCCCAGAGAAGGAAGGGGACTTCCCTAAGGTCACACAGCAATGGAGGTCAGAAGACAACTAGTTTCTAAAAAGTTTTAAGCAAAAAATGATACCAGCACATAACATACAACACCTACTCTGTCAGAAAAGGAAATGAATTAGAATTTTGGGGGGAAAAATTTTACTCCAGAACACCAGCAACAGAATTCATTTGGAAAAAATTACCTGAGAGTATGAGTACCTGAAGTAACCAATAATAAGCTGGCAAAGAAAAAATATTTTGCTCAAGCATGTGACTTTCCATTTACTAAAAGGAAATGTAATGCTCAAGACACTTTTACCCAGATCACTTAATGTAAGTAAAGAAAAAGATATAAATTTCATTGGCACTGTTATGAAATTAAGGTAGAATTGGATATTAATAATACATAATCATTTTCATTTCAAATTAATGTATAAATTCACCTGAGTGAATCTAGAATTAAAATAATAGGACAGATTATCTTGCACACAAAACATAGCTTAACTCTGGAAAATGGCTGATTTATCAAATGTTCTTCAAATGAAACAAAATCTCAACATAACAACAAGCCTGGGCACAAGACTTAAATTAATGGAATTTGTCCTACATAATCCCCTCTATCTAATCTTCTATCTCTCTCTATCCACTGGCTTCTTCCCGGTTGCCAACAAAGCCAGGACTCACTTGGACTACTGCAATACCCTTTTAACCCATCCCTCTCTGCCTCCTTCCTAACACATCTCCAACTACTCAAACTTTCATGGCTCCCTAGGCCTCTACGACCAAATAAGAGACTCCGGTCACAG